ATAAACACAATAAATATGATATCATAAAAACAGGGGCACCAAAAAAACCCAAATACCCAGGAATCACGAATGTTTCAGTCATTTCTCTGGCTTACAGTTGAAGGTAAATGATTCAGAGTGAGTCCTCTTCCTACCATATTCTGTCTACTTTTGTAATGCTCCACCATCTCTGGCAACAGGCCCACAGGATCTTATGTCTCAGTCTTTGTCTAATCGGATGATAAAACATTTCACTCAAGGCCTTTGAAATGTTGAAGTGCAGAACACTCCAGTCAAATTTGAAGGAGATTGTTTTGGAGCAGTTTCTTTGTTCGTGGTTTACTCCCTATCAGCATAGTGATGTAAAACTCTTTTCACTGCTGACGCTGACACTGGTGTTATGGCCGTCTCCAGTAAATAGAAAGCTTCAGCCTCTGTGGGTCATGTTTTTCCTAAGCAGGGTTGTATGCAGGGTAAAAAAAAAAAGAGGTCAAGAGTCAATCACTTCTAGGTAGGTTGAGCGGCGTGCTCCGCAGAAAATGTTTTTAATTCCGATATTTAAATCTGGCCATTTTCAGAGTCTTAACTTGAAAAAGCAACATCATTATGACTTTTGAAAAGTCTAGTCGGTGCATTTCTCTCTTCCTCTTTCCCTGCCAGACTTTTAAGGCATTATAAACTTGTAAACTTGATTTTTATGCCATCTTTCATTTTAAGCTTTATCTACAGTGGTCGCAAAAGACATTCCAATATAATTGAAATGAGTAGCTTCTTATTTACTTCAGTATTTAGAATAGACAGCCAAGCCCTATTACAGTATTATTTTGATAATAGTGCCTAATCTGTTCACTCTTGTCAAGGAAAGCCAGCTTTTGAACATATTTCTATTATAATCTTTACTTGTCTTCCTTTCAAATTAATTTTGAGGCACCTCCTATTCATTCTTACAGCAGCGGGCTGAATTATGGTCTGACCTAAGATGGCCGCCCTATTGGCCCTCATTGGCCCGCTGCCGGCGGAGTCCAATGAGGCATCTACTGATAGACTAACTAACAGCCTCAGTAGCCTGTGTGTGGCCGTTGCTATAGCTACAGTGCGAGTTAAGATGAAGCGTAGTACATATGCCCAAACCATTGAGCTACTGCTTTAGCTTCTGTTTTGTGGGAGACCCAGATCATCGTCCTAAAGTCAGTTCAAATGTAATCTATTTCTAGTTTATATATAAACTATTAGGAAAAATATGAATAAATAAAATTACAGAGGACATTACCTTGGTGTGTTCAACTGGAGTATCCCCCCTGTTCCTAAATATCCTAAGTAAATTTAATTCATAAACAGTGGACATTTCAGGTCAGCATCATCACATTTTCTATCCTTGTAGCTCTTAGTGGTTAATTAGAAGGCAACTAGACTTCTCTTGATTCTTAAAGATGTTTTGCCTCTTATCCTCTTAACAGTTATCATCTTCAGAAAGCGAGGAAGGATGTCTAGTTATCTTCTACTTAAGCACTTATTGCAGTCATGTTCTGTTTGATTGAGAGTCTACAGCTCTGAATGTAGGCAGTTTTGTTTGCAGTTGTTAAGAAATGATTAAGAAAGACTTTAACAACCATATAAAATAAATTAACATTTCCTCTTCTAAGATCTTAATAGTTTTCATCTCTTTTTTTCACAATCATCCATTAAGTGCTGGACTAAGATTATAATCCCTGGTCATGTCAAGTTAAAAGTTATTTCAGAATCTTCAACATCTCTTGTTTAGTTGTTGTATGCGCATTTAGTTGTGCGGTTATTCCACTCCAGAGAAAATATAACCAAAATCCTAAAAATATTAAAAACTCAAAAAGTTAGCATGATCTTCATGGCTATTATAAGTGTTTGTTCACTTTGAACAGAGTTATGTACTGCTCAAAAAAATAAAGTGAACTCTCAATAACACATCCTAGATCTGAATAAATGAAATATTCTCATTGACAGCCCTCCAAAGAAATGCCACCCCAAATCATTAATGACCCAATGAAAAACTGGCCATCCGAAAAGATGCTGCAGGCAGCAGATTGCTCTCCACAGTGTCTTCAGACTGTGTCACACATGTGTTCAGTGTGAACCTGCTTTCATCTGTGAAGAGCACAGGGCGGCAGTGGAGAATTTGCCAATCCTGGTGTTCTCTGGCAAATGCACAAAGGTGCCTCCTGCTGCTGGGTTATTGCCCTCCTACAGCCTCCTCCACATCTCTTGTGTACTGGCCTGTCTCGTGGTACAGCCTCTGAATACTACGATGACAGACGGCAAACCTTCTAGTCACAGCTCGCATTGATGTGCCTTCCTAGATGAGCTGCTCTACCTGAGCCACTTGTGTGGGTTGTAGAGTCCTTGTCATGCTACCACGAGTGTGAAAGCACCACCGACATTCAAAAGTGACCAAAACATCAGCCAGAAAGCACTGAGAGGTGGGCTGTGGTTCCCACCTTCAGAACCACACCTTTATTAAGTATATCTTACTAATTGGAAATAATTTCCAGCATTTGTACAACAGCAGTCAGTGTCACTTTCTAGTGGACATTTTGAATTCACAGGAGTTTTATTGTGGTG